TGTACATCGCTGTGAACTCAGCTTCTCCTTCTGTTGTCCATCTTTGTATTGAGTCATTCCATCTTCTCTTTCACCATCTTCCTCTCCTCTCTTCTATTTGCTTTCAGGTACCGGTTGATAGCTATTCCTTGTTGTGTCTCTTCCTTCCTCCTAGAACAGTTTCCCTGAATATCTCTTTTGGAGAGTTCAAGTGTTCTTCCACATGGGTTTCCTCAGTGATGCCATGTAGTGTGTCCGATTTTGCTCTGATATCTGTAGCGAAGGCATCCCCTGTAGTTTTGTCCTTCAGTTTCTGAATGTTGAACCTGAATTACAGTGGTCTTTCTCCATTTGTTTTATTGGATTTCAGCTTCACCTAGAAGGTTCCTTGAACTATATGCTGGTCTGAGCCCACATCTGCTCCCCTTCTCGACTTTGCATCCATCAGGTGAAATCCATGTTGCTTTGTGTATATCCCTGTGTTTGTATACGCTCCCTCCGATCATCGAATCGTTGAAACAGCGGAAGTCTGCGAAAAGTTCGCCGTTCTCATTCATTTCTCTGAGAGCCTCTAGACCCATTATGAGTTCTCTTTTTATGTTGGTGTCTGCTCCCAATTTCGGCTTGCATTAATATCGCCCATAAAGACTTTGATGTCACGATTTGGGATGTTGTTCATTACTGCTTTTAGTTGTCTGCAAAAATCTTCCTTCTTGTCTGCTTCCGCGTTGGTTGTAGCATTGTGCGTAGCATTGGATAATTGTGACCTTCCTTCCTTTGGAGTTGAATCTTGCTGTCATGATACTGCAGGATGAAATTGGTTCCCACTGCATTAGCTCTTTGGCTGCCACTGGTGACCTCATGATAGCGACTAGGTGCCTCATTGTGCTCGTGGTTTTCGTCTGGTTGACCAGAACGGTATAGATTATTGACTCTCCCGTTGACAAATGTTGTCAATCCACATCCATTCCATATGCTTTCGCAGATTCCTAGCACTTTTATGCCATGTCTTCTCATTCCTTTGGCTACCTGGACAGCTTTCCTAGCCAGCCTCGTACATTGTACGGACATTTCATGTCCCCATTCTTACTCTTGCTTTCTCTAGAGAAGACAAATCGGTTGGCCGACTGGCTTCCCGAAGGCTTTCACCAGCCCGCTATGTCATTTTGCCTCTCTGATTCCAGCGAAGAATAAGATTTCTATTTGAATTTTTTGTATTTTTAATATATTTTCTGTGTGTTGAAGTTTCTCTAGCAGTTTGAAAGATTTAGCGGTGTCGGGTTGCTAGCCCCACGCCCAACCCCCCCTCTTTATCTGGTCTTGGGACCGGCTAGAAAACTAGCGAACTAGTTAACTAGGTGAGGTTACTTTTACTAATACAATACATAAAGTGAGGCGGCGAGTTGGAGGGGGTGGTTAAGCTCATCTCCGACCAATTTTTGTACCGGTAGTATATTATAACCAGATTTAAATTTGCCATAATGATAGTAAATGTCAGATTTGTTTATTTATTCATCAGTTAATATTATCCAATTGATTCGTGTGTTGTATGAACCTATATGTAGACGGAGGTATTATCTAATGTATTTTTGCACAATGTTTAAAGTATATAGTAAGTTCGTTAATGAACATGAAGAATCAGAAATTAACTGGTGACCTGTTTTAATATTTTAATTTGAAGTACACAACCTAAGATGTGTAAAAATTGAGAAATAGTTCATTTTAAGCTATCGGGAAGAATTGAATATGCTGTGATCAGTACAAATTCAGCTGCTTCAATTTTTTTAAAATCTTACTATGAATTTATGAAAAGATCTGTTTCTTACTGCACTTTACCGACTGTTTCCAAAGAAGATACACATATTCTTTAGGCACGGTGATGAAATACTCTTCTGCCTAGACTTTCGATTGACTTCAGATAAAATACTACTAGATATTTTTATCTGAAATATTAGCGACAGGTTCCAATCTTCAATATTCCGCTAAGAAAAGTCAGGCAGTCAACATAATCACCAACTAAAGGTCGTGAAATTTCATATGCATCTTTCTGCCTAGCTGGTAAAATGAATAATCAAAGGTGAACCAATAAGTGACGCCTTAACAGTAGTTATGTGAACTTTCGTTGAATATTTTATCGGTCTTTAATTTCTACAATCCATACCTTTTGTCGCATTTCAGTATTCCGTTCTCTTTTTTTCCACACGGGTTTCATAAAGAGTCGTCAGCTTTCAAAATATTAATCGTGATGACTACTATACACTGAGTCTCAACGGATGTACACACCTAGTTACAAATGACGACATAGAACACATATCCTTACAACGTTTTGAAACAGAATATAGAACCTTCAAAGAAATATGTCAAGTAAGATTAGTGTATCTTTTTCATCTCTACTTTCTTATTTTTTTTCAAAGCTGTTTTGAATACAGATTATTCTGAGTGCAGGATTACTGAAAATCAGAAAGTTTTCTATTATTAAGGTAGTAATCAGGCGTTCAGTTCTACATCATCATGATTAATTAATCCTGGGATAAAATAGCCATGTAAATCAAAATGAACAGAAATCTGTAGTTCGGATATCAGTGTTTGCTTTAAAACAGTTTATTCTCAACAGAAAAGTTTACACACTATATCATCACAAGTAAAATCCATTAACATGGCGTTGATATGGTTTTCAGGTTACTGAACCAAGACTGACTGGCTTCACGACAAACCTAACTAAAGAATTCAAATAAAATAAAAAAGCACTATTAGTCAGTAATTTCTGTTTGGAATTCATGCAAACATTCATACTTCTCAAGATGAAGCTAAGTAATAAAATAAGTGCTAACTGGAATACTATTAGCAGTTCAAAGTGTCTACAAAGTAACTGTTCTTGGTACGTAAACGGGAAAACGCATTCAGGGAGAAAGAAACACAGTAGGATAACGAATCATACAGATCAGAGTAAGTAAAATAATATCAACGTGTGGATTGGGGTTATTTAGGCTATCAGTACATGGAAATTTAGCTAGATCTAGAATGGTTGACTTCTCTAAGTTAACTAATCTAGGAAAAAGCGCATTCACTTCTACGCACTCATTTGCATGTATAACGTGTGCTACTGCCAAGGTTTATTAGTAGTATATGTATTTAGATATAAATACGTACATCAGCGTCAAGAATATCGAATGGGGGAGAGATAGATTTAATGAAGGATGCTTGAGATACAACATGGAAAACACGAAAGGAACTCAAAGAAGAACAATATGGATATTGATATAGAAATTATATGCAATTTGTGATTCTACTACATTGCAGACGTATTTTGCCTATATCTGTGTATCGAGTTGCAAATAAATAATTGTTACCACACGTAATAGAACAATAGAGTGGGATAGAGTGGAATTATCACAGCAATATAGTTAGTTAGAGAGAGGTTAGCCACCAAGTCTTTGTTTATCGAATCGCCATCAAATACATGCTATCGAAATGACGCAACCTCTATATCGGATATATGGAAAACTGCAGTAAAAATCTGGAAAGAGAGAAACTACATATGACTCGCCAAGAAGTCGTTTGGATACATTGATGTGACTATAAGCAATAGATTGTGCTCGAAACATCATCTAGATAATAACAGTGTGTCACTATGTTACACCGAATAAACTTATCTATTGTATAATTATAAACTACCATAGTGCCCAAATTCTGCCCTAACGTTATTTTTATTTTCAATTATAGCTTGATTACCCACCGTATTTTTGATACAAGTATGGGATTTTCAGCATGTGATATTGGTGGCCAGATTTCGCAGGCCGACCATTCATATCAGGTGTGCGTCGGCAGGAGATGGAAACCCGGACCATGTGCATGGTCGGCGAGAGTCCTAACCACTGTGCGGTAATTTACAGCATCTTACAAGCAGAGAATCAGTATAGCAGCCTATAAAATTTTCAAGTCTCTCGGCATATAACGACGTGAACAGTAAACCATTAAAGAAACGTTTCCATCTTAATACGAAGATTAAGTTTAAGTATTTCTTCATAGCAGTGCGCCCTAATAACGCCCAGTGCACCTACTTCTTTTGCCTAATCGAACCATGAGAAATATGTCTTAAAAAATCTCCACGAATTTCCTTCGTTATAATAGCCTGCATTATTTCACGCTAACTTTATCAGCTATTGTCTGTCAGTGGTTCAGCGGTAGAATGCCCGTCAATCATGCACGAGTTCCTGGGTTGGATTCTTGGCTGGTGCACAACTTGACCTCCCTTAGCCGGATGTAAGCTTAACAAAGAGGATGGGGGCTGGGTGTGAAGCCAACAATCTCACCAACTTGAAAATACCACTGCTACAAAAACATGAAAGTTGAAGCTTGAAGGCCTACGTTCCCCGCGGAATGCAATGCAGATATTCCTACTGGAAATGTGTTGTCAGATTTTCATGTGGGTATTTTGCTGGAGTTTAGATTGCTTGCAGCTGGCGAAAGTCATTGGGATACAAGTAAACTCATACTGCCTTGTAGCACTGATCGTCCCTGAACACTTCAGAATTGTTGCAATGAGGACTTCATGAAGTAGTTTAGCAGTCGCAGTTTGAAATACCGTGGTCGGTAAAACAATCATGTATTGTCTGTCTATCCTGTAGTTTGGTAGATATCAAGTGTATTTAGTAGACTGACAATGTGTGTAAAAGTTCAATATCTCACTTTAGGTGACAGATCAATGAATCGGATATCGGATTTCATAATTCGGTTAACGGAAAGGTTTGTCTTTCGAGAAAGAATGTCCTGCTGGCATGTATTTGAATATTAGGGTGGCCTTTACCCACTGGAGTATTAGCCTATTAAGCAAGTGAATACACTCACCAACTTATGTAAATGTGTATGTGTATACATACATATATGAACATAATATTCAAAAAGTTAACGAATACTAAAATGTCAATATTCTGCTATTCATTCTATTCGATAAGTAATATGAATAATTATTTTCACATTTTTTTCAAATTGTTTTATCATTCTGCCTTCAAATCTAACAGATTCCAACATTTGCTAGATTTCGTTTGTGGAAAGGATTCACTCGATGGCGTAAAGTTATACGTTACACGAAAATAGAACAATGTAAACGATTCCTGCGTGATAACTTATTCATTGCAAATTCATCACTTCGACCGGCATTGTTAAATATCCGTGAAATGTGCTATCGTATTGGAGATATGGGATTATGCAAGTTAGAAAAGGACAAAACGTACACATTATTGGAGTTTTTAACGAATCAAGTTAATCAGTTGAATGAAGTATGTACAAGACTGTGTGAATTTCGTGAACTTGTCAAAGAAGTTGTCCGCGGTGCATGTCGTACCGCGTTACTGGAATACGGTTTTATGCCGGACGACTATTTAACAGATAATATTACGGTACTTCCAGGAACAGGTAATACACAAATTTCAATGGTGAAAATAATTTTGCATATCACTAATTATAAATATGTCTGACAACAATAACAAATATGTGTAATTTGTACTGATAAACTATAGTAGTTTGGCGACAAGTTAAAGAATATTTCAATGAACACGCACAGTCAAATAAAAATATGTAGGGTTTGAAACAGTTACAGTCCAGGTATTCTACCCATCTCTTTTTATTATTGTTCTTTATAGCCGCATGGTTTTTGTGTCTGAGATCTCCGTCCTATTTTTCTTTGCAATTACTGAGGTAGACACTTCTGTGCCACGTTAATTAGGTGTATTGTGTGTTTTGTTCTCATTAACCAATTCCCATCTGTATCCAAACATGCGGATGGCCAAAGCCTCTCTTTCTTCCTATATATATATATATATATATATATATATTATTTTTGTGGCCTTAACTTCACCGATATTTCCAAATCAGTGGTGGATGACTGCTGAAAACATAAATGGAAGTTAGTTCAATTTTAAATCACAATGTTGAGCATGCATTGAGATGTCTAAAATGATAGTATCTGGAGTTCAGAATTATCGTAAAGCATTCACATATAACTGTTGGATAATACGTGGAATGGATGACGTGTGTTGATCCGTTAATTAAAACATTAAAATAGTAGTGATGGTGATAAACATGTTAAAGGAGCTTTTTACAAGCAGTTTTCACCTCATAAATAGAAATCAGTAGAAGACATTGAAAGCTTTCGAGTCAAAAATAGTTTCGAAATTCTTTTTGATGAGAAATTCGCCCTGAGAAAATAGTAGAGCTCAGTTATCACTTGTAATTCCTTTATTCGTTTACTTGTGTGCATATTAAGTAGATGAACATCAGTCTCAAAGGTTTTATTATTTGTGATTCAAATCTTTATTTTTTGAAGAGCGTAATCTGTATGATGTTGAGGAGCTGATAGAAAGTTGCAAACTTACGGCTAAACGGTTACAACTTGAACCATTTCCGTATAGTCGAGATCATCCGTTAGTTGGGCAAGCTGTTAAAGCTGTTGATTTGGCTTTACTGCAGATCAAAAACAATCGTTACAAACTCGAACGACGTACAGAAAAGTTGAAAATGCGTAATGATCGATATTGTTGTTAAAGTGTTAAATGTTTGTCATTTGGTTGCTTCATTCTCTTCATTTATTCGTTGCAGTTTTTCTTTTGGTTTTGTTGCTTTTAACAAGTCTTCAACACGTGCGAAATACTTTTTCTTTAACAAACATGTAACTTTTATTTCAGAACAATATGGTGTGGGAACAAGTTATATTTCGTCAGGTTGTGATATGGAAATCTATTCAGATGCACCGGAAAAAATGACGTTTACCGAAATGGCTTCCAAACGCAAACACTGTCAGCGTTTAACTTGGTATGACTTGTTTCATTTTAATTCAAATCACAGTAATTTTAATCACAATCTTCAGTCTTTTCTCGTCGTTAAAAGTCAGTTGTAAATAAAGTTTGCTATTCATTGAAATTAATTCACTAAACTTATTTTTGCTCAGTAGTTATATATCATTGGATTTTAGTGCTAGATGAATTCTATTGGTGAGAAGAAACTGTGATACAGAGTAGTCAACGTTAAGTATTTTTCTTTAGTTATTTAGATGACCTGAGTCTGGTGATTACACGTGCGGCACATTTACATTCAGTTGCCATGGTATCTGCTTTGACTTGCATAACTAAGAGTGTTCCAGATACATACAGAGCAGTCACGAGCATGCATCTAATTAAAAATGATCTCAATGTGAGAGATTTAGACTAGGAGAAATTTCACTAGTTATAGAACACTTCAGCTTTGTGTTTTCCTAGGATTTTTGTGAATATTTTAGTCACAGAACTTTCACAATACTACTGCTATTGTAGTTTCCTGTGAAAAGTGTAGAAAAAGTTAAGGAGTCAGTGTGATGACCAAGTTTATTCACAGGATGTCAGTGTTTGAATAAATCAGTGATGACACCTTTGGCTGCGGCACGGAATGGTGCAGATTTCTGAATTTAGGCTGCAGATTTGCTTGATGGTAAGTACTGATAAACTGAGGTGTTTCGCAGAAACCATGACGGGTCGCATGTCTTTGATCACAATTCAGCATCCGATATAAAATTTGTAGCTATAGCTTAAGACACCACTGTTCAGTAATGTGTTCAGTTGATAATTACAAATGCAGCCAAAGGAAATCTCTAAACTTATCCACCACTTTTTTCCTAAAATAACGCAAAAGTATTCATACGAAAACATTGTTTCCTCCTAATTATTTTTATTATTGTTACAGTTTTATACGTCTCGCGGATTACCAAATTGTTAGTACACTTCATGTGCTCACAGTGAATTCAGTTTATACAATATTAGATTGTTTGAGTGAACATCTCCGTCACACCCCCGCTATTAGTGAAATAGAAACATACAAAATTGAAGTGGAAGAATTATTGGAAGCACCGATTGCTGATACGGATATAGGACGAAGAGATATGGGTGCTGGAAAGAAGCTATCTTTTAAAAAGTCGGTGAGTTGCTCAATTGCGAAGTATATCTTCAACAGTACCTGTATTTTTTCATTTATCCAATATACTAATAGGAAGCTTAAGTCATTATTGACTGCCTGTCTGTCTGTTTTCGATATAGAACTTTGCACATATGTGCGGCAGTTCAAGTCGCCTCACTCCATGTAGCACACAAAGCAAGAGAAGAAAGTAGAAGAAATGCATAATATAGACAGTAAACAGAGGTGTGAGACAAAGGTATAGTAATAACGAAGAACGAAACAGTCATTATTGAGGTGATCATCTGGCTAAGGAAATTGTAACCATCTCTTAGGTCATTTCAGGTGTTCATTTGGTGGAGTTCAAGCTTTCTCAACTATGCAGTACTTTATCACTTAGCTGAAACAATACTCCAGAAGTCTCAAGAAACCACAAAACAGTTAACAAACAGGCGGAATATTTGAAATATTCTTTTGTCTTTTCTGTAGACACTTAGTCAGTCAAAAGTGAGAATCCCTTCGCATTAAATCTAATTCGTGTGGTTATGATTCAAAGTTCTCATGCAGATATTGCAGCAGAACAGTAACCAAGCACACAAAGCTTGTTGTGGTTATTCGTTCATATCATCAATATGGTTATGATTTTTTAAAATTTTTAATCTAAGGGAATAGTGACTGACTTTTAAAAAGCTTTATCTAGTAGGAATTTGAATGAGTATCGTGACATAATTTGTGATACACTGTCTAACCATTTGTAAATAAACCTTTGCTTACAAAAGTGGTTAATTGTATGTAATATTATGCGTCGGTGGCACAGTGGTTAGGACTCTCGCCGATCATGCACATGGTCCGAGGTTCGAGCCCCTGCCGGCGCACACCCGATATCTATGGTCGGCCTGAATTTGGGCTACCGATATTCATGCTGAAAATGCTAACTTTATATACGTGTGGCATCAAGCTGTAACCAAATAATATATATAATATTAAAGATTTGTAGATAACAATCCCAAAGGTTTTTTTCATTTTTTTAGTTCCAAGCAGAACATAGGGCCTCAGGGTTTCAGAGTTTCACTGGCAGCAGTGTTATTCTAAGAGGTCTGATACTTTATCATAAACTAGGCGGGCTTAAGGAATGCGTCGCCCGGAAATCAAACCTGGACCTGCGACGTGACTGGTGACCACTCAATTAGTGAATTATCTAGAAGTGTTTGTCGTTGGTTTCTATTCCTCAGTAGGATTTTAATTCATATCGTTTGTTCAAAAATGTTTAGTTAATTTTAAAATCATATCTAAAAGCAAGTGAAGAACTTTTTTATCTTTCCTATAGGTGTCAAAACAATCTTCAACCGATAAAACCCAAGACGAGTCGAAACTACCTCCGCTTTTTGCATTGGAAATTATACTAGAACCATCTCGTTTATATTTAGTTCCAGACGAGTCTCTATTTCAAGATGGCATTCTTGAAATTATCAATAAATTTCAGGTAAAGTGTACATTTCGTCTCTTATACTAATAGACTTTATTTTCGATCACATATAACAGCGGCTATCAGTGCAATTAAAAACAACAGCTTCTCTAAAACTGGTAGCCACTACTGGGGTGTAGTTTTATCCTATAAGCTGCGAATATCTAAATAGAAATTGATCTATGCATAAATCAAATTAGCAGACATACAGACACTTCAGTGTATGTTGAACCTAGACAAACAAGATCTCTTACTAGCCATTTCCGATTATTAGTGTGAAAATCCATTTTCACTTCGTTCTACGGCATACTTTAGACAAGCAGTTACATTAACCACGTAGAGCTTAGCGGACAAGTAAAGTCGTTTTAGTTGTCGAATTTCTCATGTGTGTAGGAGGAGGGAAAATAAGTTAACGGACATTTATAAGTTATTTCACACTTTCAAGCAGATTTAAAATAGGAGTACTCCTGTCCCACTGTGATAGATTTTAGGCCATTCCATCATAGCACGCAGTGATCATAAATGCCTAAAACCATAAGCAGCCTAACCGAGTGGTTTATAGTGCCATTAACAAGTCACTAACCTTATGGATTGCAATAGGACCTCACTATACCCACTCTAATATTATCAGCTGCAGTAGACAATGATTCAGTGTTTATTTTGTATTCTGCCTCCATTACTCGTTACACGTTCACAATTTCACTGAATAGTTTGCATTCATTGCACAATTTTATTATTCAGACGGCCCCAGAATACATCAGAAATATTTAACTTTGTTCAAAAGGGGAAAAACAAATTCCAGAATGCTGTAAAAGCACAAACAGATCAGTTACCTGTAACAGTTATTTACAAGGGCACAAATATGTACATTTCTAGGCAATCCGCGTTCGTCACAATACATTCAGAAATAAATACTCATTTGTAACTGAATGGAAGTGGCCCAACTTCACTGTTTTAAAAATGAAATTAGAAAAAGGCACCTATCTCTCCGATAAACAGAACCTAACACTCTGAGGTAATTCAACCTCACCCCCAAGTTTATTGTACATATTGTTTCGTTTGAAATGAATGAATGAAACTGTCGTGGCTGTTCTAATAAATGTTACCGAATTTTCACTGTTTATAGAAAATAAATGATTCATTCATGAAGTTTATGGTTTCACAATATCAACAATAACAATTGTAATAATAATATATCTGATGGCTTTTGTATAAATCTGTCATAAAAAAATAGGTAGGTGTTGCTGTGGTAGAATTTCCAAGCACTTTCAAACTCACACACACACCTTACATTACGAAGTTAGTATAGTTCACAAATCCTTAAAGAAGTACACTTTATTTATTCATACTCCTATGTGGAAACTTATTTATTAGATCATATTTAAGTAACAGAAATGGATAATCAAAAAGAGAAGTGGGGATAAACAGATGTATGGGAAGCTAATACTCCTGCATCGTCCACACCTTAAAAGTTAACATCTTGTTCTCATACCTAAAAAGAGCAATTGATTAGTTTGTGTTTTCGTCAAACAACAATACTGTCTTTTTGAAAATGATCAAATGGAGTATCTTTACATTGCACTAGATTGTATGAAGTTTTGTTTGTTTGAAAAAGCTCACTGTTGGTATTGAATAGCTTTACATCATGTTAGAGCATACAGTTTTGAGGTTGATCTTTTGTTATAACTTTCAAGATTTGCAGTGTAACATACCTAACTTTCTGGTGTTCGAATAGCCATTAGGATATACGCCTTAACGTCACCACGTCCCTTTTAGTAGCAGTAGTAACTAGCTCACAAGTTGCCACAACATTCTAACATTTAACTGCTAAATAAGGTGGTATCTGCATAAAACAGTCGTTACCAACCTCATAAATCTGAGTTAGCGGAGTAAGCAAATCTAGTCGTTAAGTTGAGATACATAGTTGTTTGTTCTGTCCTCGCGATAAAACGATTATCGTTTGGAAAACTAGTAACAACAATATGGGTAACTATAAAAGAAAGTAATTCCATGTTAGTGGATTCATTTGATGAAAAATGATAATGAGCGATAAACTATACTAGAATTGTCATCCAGCACATAATACTGTATTAGCTGGTGCTACATCTATTTAAAATTAGAATAAGGTTCATATTAGTTACTCCAGTGGCCAATATACTTTGATTTAGCCATATTATACATACCCTTTCCTTTACACCAATCGATTTCATATTACTGTTATTTTAGAAAATATATCTGACTCTCACACGAGAAATTTCATGGATTCGAGAACTGCTTACCAATGACAGCTTATGCAGAGTTGCATAGTGATCTGACTAAAAGTTATACAGTTAGTCTTAAATATTCCTAAATTTAAAACGTGCGTTATGAAGCATTGCACATGAGGTAGTGATCTCAAGAGATGAGGTATGATTTAAAACTTTAAACCATTTGAAAAGTGACCACACAAAATCCTATTAACATTTAAGTATTCATTTCTAGTCAAATAGATATTTGAAACAACAGAGCTACCTTCTTACAAGTAATAATAAAAAACTGCTGTCGTTTCATTTTTCCTTTAAATTCCATTTCATACCAAAAAATATGCATGATTTCAAATCTTCGTCTAGGAGCAAGTGTTCAACATTAGGAACTTAACACCAGATCCTTATTTTGATGCATTCACAAGACCATTAATAAATAATAAATTTGAGGAGAAAACATGCGGCACAGGACCACAGCTACAAAATATGTTTGCTGAAGATACTGGACTACAAGAAATCATATATCATGTCAAAAAATCTTTGAAAAGCGCTTTTGAAGCTGTCAATTCATATATGAATACATTTGTAGAAATTCATGACTTCTATCGAGACAACGAGGAAATAACTAAAGAAAGTATTCAACTGGACTATGCAAGTACGTTTTCACTTACTTATTGGTAGATCCCAACTTGTATTACTGTTATTATTATCGTTTGAATAAAACATGAACAGTAGTTTGAACAGGATTAGACGATATCATTTACTTTGGTAACTCCTTTTCGACTACCTTCAGATTAAAAACACTTTCATATTCAAGACAACAGATGTCCATGTACTGCAGTCCATATTTCTGATTTGAAGAGAAAATGACACTGATGTTGCATTAGTTACTATTTGGGTCGATGGAGTTAATAAAGCGATGACTGCAATTCACCATTCAGAAAAAAGTGGACAGATTTCCCGGGGACAAGAACACTTGTTACTTTTTCTCTAACAAGTTAATTTTGTTTACTAGTCATTCTGTAATAATGACAGTTTTTCGATGTCATTTTCGAAACTTCGTTGACCGTGTTCTTTGATATCTACTCAGATTTATTCCTAATCCTATATGTCTGAATGACCTCGTAGCATGTACCATATGAGTTGGTACAACCAGCTTGAGTTTTACCACCTATAATTAAGTTATCTTTCAGCCTAACACAGATTCCAGTTATTCTATTTTAAAAGGCATCATCAGTGGAACTCAGACTGAGTTTCTTAGATTGTCTAACACGTTCAACACAGACGATTAAAAAGGCAAAGAAAGTGCTTTGAAATTCTTTTATCCTTATGTTGAGTTTCATAAAAACATCTATTCAAAGTAAGGTGATGGAAATTATTGTTAATGATTCATTAATTTCAAATGTTAATATTTTTCAGCACGGACTGGTGAAATGAATCATGTGGGACGTCTTAGTGAGAGTAAGTTTGCGCGTTGATGTAATTTACTTGTTTTTCATGAATTAAACAAATATGATGTGCTCTACAGTGAATACTACCATTGCACTGAAATCAACACAGAAATTGTGTGGATATCGGCCATCATAGCTTAGAATTTCCATTCAAAAATCATATTCTTTTATCAAATCTACATAACAAAATGTCGTCATATGCTGACATTTTTAAATACTCATAAGCTCACGTTATTGTTATGTATTCTACATGGTGTTTAGCCTACCGGTGGATCACTTATTAGCTACTAAATCCTCTGACGATTAAAAGGTGTGCAGTGCGATAACTTGGACTGTATTGCAGTAATTTTATCTGACGTGAAGATGTTTTTATGTTACCTAACAGTGCAGGGACAGAAATATAGATTTAAGCACCACCGTAAACAGTATTGATATATGTTCCAAATCAATTATTGTTTTCACTTTTTAATGGCCGTGTGACTTTTATTCCGTTATTTGAAAGGATAATGGTGTTGAGCACACCCGAAATATACTAAAAGGAGTTCTGAGTTAAATATGTGTATTCGTAACATTTAACTCCAATACAATAATCAAAACCTATTTATTCAAAACCTGCAGATATCACGACAAGCGTATCATAATCAAAACTTAAAGCGTTGAGAAGAACAATGCGATTTCCCGTCAAACAGTTAAAAAAATAGGTTCAGTTATTCGAAAATTATCTATGAGAGAAGCTTATTACTAGAAACAGCGTGGCCTGTTTTTGTGCGATAAAACTAATCTTTAAAGATTCCACTGATTCTTTAAACAGCAGTCCTCTTCAATATATCAGTAAAACTTCAGCTCTGTGGTTCCGTGTAATTCCACATTAGTTAGTTTATTTCGTAACAGCAGAAGACAAGACATGGAAGCAAAGGTATATTTCTCATTAATCAAATAGCTGTTCATATGTATACGGTTTATATTCGTTAACCAATCACTGAGCGTGGGATTTTTGTTTACATTAAACGACATTAAACAGAATGTTCAAATATACATAGTATTCTGTTGCTAACGTAGTACTGAACTGTGGGAATAGTATTCAGACGTTAACACCATCAAATACAATGATTTTCACTGTGAGAATAATATTTCGTTGGAACCCATCGTCTGTATCACACTACCACAATTTGATATCTTAAACAGCAATCTACATTGGATGACGTTTCGAGTAAAATTTCTTGATCATAGTTATAACTCTAAAACACTGAAACTTGATTTGTATACTTCAATTTATTCCCCTACCCCTACGTTAAACGGCAAAGAAACGAAAGAACTACAAAAG